CCCTTCTCTCTACTCACCTACTCACTTACTCACTCACTCACTCACCCTCGTTGTCCCTCTCTCTCCCCATGTGTGTTGACACTGCAGAGAAGAATGTGTGTTCGCCGTTCTATCGTTTCAACGAAACCACGCAGGACTGCGAGCGCTGCACGACCTGTACAGACTCCACCAGCACTGGCTGCGACCCGTACAACGGTACCTGCCAATGCAAGCCTCACGCCATGGGCACCGCATGCCAGCATTGCAGCAATGGTTACTATCGCCCTAGCAACCACAGCGGTGGCGACGGTACCTGCACGGTGTGTCCCTGCGTTGCGGGGCGTACGACCGCGACAGGCTGCGATGCTGTCACCTCCCAGTGTCATTGTCGGCCGCCGTACACCGGCTTTCGCTGCGAGGCCTGCAGCGGAGGTTACTACGACGACGGAAATGACTGCGTGCGCTGCGGCTGCGACGCGGCGGGCTCCACGAGTGCCGACTGTTCGCTGTCCGCCGCGCCGTTGCTGGCCACGTGCAGCTGTCGCCCGGGTTACATCGGTGACAAGTGTGACCAGTGCGCTATATACTATCACCGCAGTCGGACCACGCGCGTATGCACAGGTAAGCGACCGTCAGCACATATGCACACGTAAGCCACCGTTAGCACAGCACAACCGCATAGCAATGTAGCATGCAGTTGTAGTTGGCTATACAGTCAGTCAACTTTGCATAATAATAATGAGGTTCTGCTCTACGTTATGGGAACGCAACGCAAAGAATCACGCGAACTCTCTTCGCGTTCCCGTAACGTAAAGAAAACCTGTTCTGCTCTACGTTTCACGTAGAGAAGTCACGTGGAATGTGTGCTGGGAATTTCCCCTTCCATATTCGGCAGTTTTCTGCCTGCACTCGAATGATACCGAGCAGATCCGTACGCATTTTCTTTGCGTGTGCCACAACGTAGAGAACCTCATCTATGCGTAGAAATCTGGACCCAAAAACACGCGAAGCCGTAGACTCTAACCCAGACACCTGCTCTCTACGTGATTTCTCTACGTTTCACGTATAGCAGAACCTCTCTAATGACACTCGGCGGGGCATCAGAAAAGTGTCCGTCTTCGTGAAGTGCCGTTGTACCCGAAGTCTCATCATATGTAATACAGTTGGATGGGACTTTGCTCTGGGCATGGAAATTCCGTCGTTATTCCCGGAATTGTCATTATATTAGCAAAGTTGACTATAGGACGACCTTGCGAACAATATTTTTACAAACTTGCAAGTTCTGCTGTAGACATTCCTGCATCAATCAGGTCTGATGATGATGATGACTTTTGTTGTATTTAGCAAAATCCAAACGGGAGTTTCCTCCCAATAACAAGGTAGTGAAGAGATCAGGTACACCGTATTTCCCCGAATATAAGGCGCACTTGATTATAAGTCGCAGGCCATTCTCACGTCGTAACCAAATCGTCTCAATGCATTCACATAAGCAAGGAGCCACACTCGATTGTAAGTTGCACCCCCTTCTTTACCCTTGAGGTTAAGTGTAAAAAGGTGTGACTTACAATCGGGGGAAATACGGTAAGAGCTGAAAGAGAGGTGTATGAATAATAATAATGATACTTGTACTAATAATAATAGTAAGTTGTTCTTTCCTTTCTTCCTCTTCCTTCCCCTATTTCTTGTCCCTTTGGTTTTTAGCTTTTTTCTATTTTTTCACTTTCTTTTTGCTGTCCCACCTATGGAAATATCTTCCCAGTGGGTCTGGCTTATCGCCTTCGAAAGAAGTGAAGTAAGGAGACATTACAGAACAGTTCGCGTGCAGGGCAGCAATGTAGCGCTAACCTTTCCGCTTCTGTCGCTTTTGAGCTCTGCTACATGTGACGGTTGTGAAAAAAAGGAAAAGAAAAAACCCCGAGAGAAATGAAAGTGCACAACCGGATAGAGGTGTGTATGGAGATGGGTGTATGTGACTGAGTACGCGCATGCGTGTACTAGTGTGCGTGCGCGTGTGGGAAACGGAGTGCAAGCACTAATAGTTACTGAGCAGCCAAAATACAGCGGTTACTGCTTGAACGTTAGGAACGGAGAGAGAGCATCAATAGTTACTGAGCGGAGCGAACAAAATGCAGCAGCTACTAATAGAACATGGCACGCCACTGATTCTTGATGTTCTTTTCTTGGAGATCCTTGATGACCGTGGCGGCGAGTGTCGTCTTGGGTCTACCACGGTGGCCGCCGGTAGCGTCTCGCTTCACGTAGCATGACATAGCTGTGAAGGCATGTGTATGACTGTGTGCATGTATGTAAAGTGTGTCACTGTATGCACTGGATATGATAGTCAGCTGGAGATCAATACTGCGGATTCAGTATCAAACATGGCAATTGGCTACTGTTGCAGGTATTGCGCAAGAATTACAACAGGCACATTCAGTAACCGATCGTGTCAGTTACCACTGCAGCTTTGAGGGTCACCAGCGTTGTGCTCGGGAGCGGACGTCTCCTGGTAATCTGTTCCGTTTATCTGCAGCGCTGAAGGCATACCCCGACTTGCCAGCGTTCATTCTTGCAACTGGAAGGCCGAGTCCGTCCTGCTGCTGAAGGCGGGCTTCTCCTAGTCATTTCCGGAGTCAGCAGTTGTGTGACGGACTGTGATATCTCGCCGCGTAGGCTCTTCCACATAAGAACTAAGGTGCTCTGGTGGAAGTGCTCTGACACCTGGAAAACTCCCAGCAAGACCAGCAGAGGCTGGGCTTAGTGTCGCATGGTTCGGACACACCCTTTTAAAGTGTTCTCTCTGTGGCGCAAAACATCTTCTCTTCTCCAAGTTCGAGATTTAAACCTGATGAATCACAACGATTTCATTAAGGGGTCGTCGCAAAAGTTTTTTGTCGTCCCTGAAACGAACATGATTCATTGGTGGGGGGGGGGGGAGGGGGGGAGGGGTGCGAGGGAGGGGGTGCGAGCCAAAATCGCAAGTCGACCGACACTGTACATAAGACATGTACATGCATGCGATTTTCGCCGTCCAGCATAGCAAGCTGTGTTCGTTTCAGAGGGAGGGGAGGGGTCCGAGTACGAAATGAACGATGTTCGTTTCAGGGACGACAGAAAACGTTTGCGACGACCCCTAAGAGAAGAATGTTTGCGCAGTGGGGACACCATTGAGTATGTGGTGAACACCGGTACAGTTGAGTCCCTTTACAATCCGGCACCATTTATAGTTATCGTCGTCCCTTTGTGTAAGTGTGGAGATGGCACGGGACTGGGAGCAGGTGGAGAAAAGTCAGTTACAACATTGGTGGCAGCGGTGGGATTCGAACCCACGCCAATCTACCATGCGGACTTGAATGTGCGCGTTTCAGGCGCCAGGGGATTTTTATATCATTTTTTACTGATGAGGTTTTTTCTTGTAACCGATGTCGTACTAACGATGGTAGACCTGTATCATGTATAGAGCTCCACGTGCACTACTCAAACCAATATTATGCATTGGCTTCGGCGCTACCATTCTCCCCTCCCTCCCCCCCCCTCTTGATGTGTTAGAAAATGCAATGCGCAAGCACAGAAGAAATCTTTGGATGAACTCGGCTGCAGCTACGCAGATTCCTACATTGAGCAACCATCAGACTTTTAGATAGTGTGTGTGTGTGTGTATGTGTGTGTGTGTGTGTGTGTGTGTGTGTGCGTGTGCGCGCGCTCGCGCGTGCATGCTTGTGCATATGTGCATGCGTACGCGCGTGCGTGCGTGCGTGCGTACGTGCGTGTGTGTGTGTGTGTGTGTGTGTTTGTCTGTGTCTGTGTCGGTGTCTGTGTCTGTGTCTGCATGTGTATACCATGATCTGTTCCATCTTTCACCATGCTATTAGCTTGTGAGTGCAACATGGTCGGTTCTATCAACGTGATGTGTAATCCTAGTGGCGGAGAGTGCTGGTGCAAGGCGGGATTCAGCGGCAGGAAGTGCGATACCTGTGCCGACCCAGCGCATATCTACACAAGCACTGGTTGCATACGTACGTCACTATGTGTGTGTATGGGGGGGGGGGGACTTTCCCCGTCGATTTTTCAAAGGTGCAGTGTACATGTGCAAGTGTATTTCAAGACTCTTTTAGGGGACTTTCCCCGCCGGTTTTTAAAAGGTGCAGTGTACATGTGCAAGTGTATTTCAAGACTCTATGGGGTTTTAGGGGACTTTCCCCGCCGGTTTTTAAAAGGTGCAGTATACATGTGAAAGTGTATTTCAAGACTCTATGGGGTTTTAGGGGACTTTCCCCGCCGGTTTTTAAAAGGTGCAGTATACATGTGAAAGTGTATTTCAAGACTCTATGGGGTTTTAGGGGACTTTCCCCGCCAGTTTTTAAAAGGTGCAGTATACATGTGAAAGTGTATTTCAAGACTCTATGGGGTTTTAGGGGACTTTCCCCGCCGGTTTTTAAAAGGTGCAGTATACATGTGCAAGTGTATTTCAAGACTCTATGGGGTTTTAGGGGACTTTCCCCGCCGGTTTTTAAAAGGTGAAGTATACATGTGCAAGTGTATTTCAAGACTCTATGGGGTTTTAGGGGACTTTCCCCGCCGGTTTTCAAAGGTGCAGTGTACACGTGCAAGTGTATTTCAAGACTCTATGGGGTTTTAGGGGACTTTCCCCGCCGGTTTTTAAAAGGTGCAGTGTACATGTGCAAGTGTATTTCAAGACTCTATTGAGATTCGTAGGGACTTTCCCCACTGGATAGTATCATAATAATGTTTACAGTTTGCATGTCACTCATGGATGGATCCATGGGCTTAAGGCATCTGTCAATGAAATCCAGGCAGAAGAGCCAACAAAAAGGCATCTCAATACTGTTAGAACGTATCGCAGCAAGAACGACTACGCACGGGCAGCACATGCTTCCTGTGGCCGGACTAATACAAACTGTTTCCAGTGGTCAATGTACCGCTATGAATAGTGAACAGCGAAGCCTTTTGAGACCAGGTCAATACATTATTAGCATGCTCCGATGCGAGAAACACAAACGAACGCTGCATAAAGGCAGAGTGTTAGACAGCTACCAAAAACAGGGAACTATTTTACTGTGAGCTTTTCTCTCAATTTATAAGAAGAAAGGAGGACCAAAGAGCTACACACTGTAAACTGCCTAATATTCGCGACAGATCGATGTTCGCTATTTTCGCGAGAAGAGCGTAACGCGAATATCAATCATCGTGAAATCTAATTTCAACAGTGGGTGTATGTAAGCGGCCCCAGTGCTTCGCGAACTTTTGCCATCGCAAACTCGCTGGTTCTGAGAAATCGCGAAAATTTAGTGACGCGAATATTGGGCGGTTTACGGTATTACGCGTTTAAATCCACTAGCACCACCAGTTACTTTACAATCAGCTCATGCGATGACATTACCGCTGGTCAGTGCCGTGCAATGTTACCGCATGAGCTACTATTAATGATAGCTTGCATGCCGTCCTACCGGTAGGACTCAAGAAATCGCGCTGCAAAAGTGCTTTTGGTTGAGAAATTTCTTGAAACAATTGTTGAGATGAGGTCTTTGTCAGGCAAAGTAATGGCGCTAAATGCAAGGCTATGTCCAGTGCATTGCATACGCGCAATTTTATCAATTGTCAAAATGGCCGCACATACTCCTGTCGGAGCGCTAGCAACTCTGTCCAAAGTGAATTTTGACCATGGCACATCAATCGTGGTGAGGTCCTAATGTTTTTATTAGTCTGCCAAGGCAGTGGAATGCATAATTCCATACGCCGTTTCCATGGTTACCATGGGCTGTTACCATGGAATTTCGTAGTATGCCTTGTGCGATCACGTCTAAAATTTGTGGACTCCTTCATTAGCCCCTGAGCAACAGTTTAGGGTCAAGTTTTAGGTCAATGTTAGAACAGAGGCCATGCAGCATGTCTGTGTATGATGGTCCTACCGGTAGGTCCTACCGGTAGGACCGAGGTCTATGCAAGCTATCATTAAAGTAACTGATGGTGTTAACCCTCTCACTACCAGCCATTCAAATATCGATCCACGTGGATCGATGCAATAGGCGATCACTAAATATTTTGTCACACTCAAATATTGTCGGATTATTACAAATGAGGGCTCTTCGTCTTCAGAAAGACCTTGACTATCGACTGCAACTATCGCTTTCACTCCTTGGTGCTTAATTGGCGCACAACGAAGTATTTTTGTAGACTGTAAATTGACTCAATTGCGAAAATACTGGGTAGTGAAAGGGTTAATGGATTTTCTAGCGTAACATGTAGCTCTTTGTTCCTCCTTTCCTCCTATAAATTAATCCTTGGCTCTCCAACCGAGTTTTCTCTCAGTCACTATTATTTTGAATTTGATGTGCATGTGGCTCTTGGTCTGTTTTTGCTGTTGCTGCTGTCGTGCACCGCGTACTCTATCTTTTTCTCCAGCCAAGCCATCCTGGCTTAAGACGGGCACTGCAGTACCATTGTCCGGCCAGATAACGATCGAGGCTATCCCGTTCGGAGACAAGCGCAGAGCCGAAAGCACAGTCTACGTTAGTCATACCACTCAAACACGAATTAGGAAACTTGTCGGGAAACCGTTTACACTGGTGGACAGTTACGAGTTAATCTAGGAGACCTTCAGGTTTTTGGCAGCTTCATTGAGTAGGGGTTGGTGCGACACACACAAGGATCAGGTATTTGATAGCTGCATCTGTGATGGGGTACATCAACTAGAAAGCAACAACGTGACTGGGTCAAAAGCCCACGGCCTGTCACTGAGGGGGGCTAGAAAGCACGAGACAGCTGAAACATTCCAACACAAAATGTTATGTGTTGCATTCTTCGATGAAGCGCTTTGGGATGTTCACGGCCTGTCAGGGGGGGGGGGGCTAGACGGCACGTGACAGCTGTAACATTCAATCACAAATGTGTTATGTTCTTCACTAAAGTGTTTTTGTGTGCATGTGCATTGGATGCTTTGTCACATTGAACATCGTCAGGCGAGAAACTAGGGGTGAAACAATTATACCGAGTACTCGAATACTCGCTCGCTTTTAAAAAAAATAATCGTACTCGGAATAAATCAGAGTACTCGTTCATACTTGGTACATGCATTTACTGCAGAAGTCTGCAGTTTCAGAGCAGTAGTCGGCAGATGGTGATGTGCAGACTGTGTGGTGAACATTTGTTCACGAGTAGAGAGAGCCCAAATGATCCACCAGCCAATATACCCGAGAAAAATGACTGCTACTCGGTTCAATCAGGGTTGTATCATGTTATTTTAAAGCCCTTGGTGTGCAATTGTTAGGAGATGAAAAATACTCGAATACTCGAATATTCGATCGGAGAATATCAGAGTACTCGAACTCGGGATCTCAGTGCCAACTTTCACCCCTACGAGAAACCCATTACACTGACTCGTACCTCTCTTTTTGGGACCTCAAAGTTGCGGTCGCCTCAATGACTGTCTAGTTCGATGTGAATTGCTTCAACCGCACACCATGCTACGCCGTTGTAAATGCATTTAACAAGTGCTCAACTCTTCCTCTCCGTGTATGCTGGTTAGGTACGGCGCAACGGCATAATCACATTTTCCCGTTTCCAGGGCAACTTTGCCGACCCAGCGCAGCTGCTGGGAACGACGAAGATAGTGGCTCCGCTGTGGACGGACCTCGACGAAGTCTCGCCGAGCGACGGATCAGTGACCTACACCAAATATGGCATGAACGACACTGCGGAGCTGGCTCGGCTCGTGAACGACACCACCGTTGTTGGCACGACGATGCCGGGGTTCCGGCCGACAAGCGCTCTGGTGGTCAGTTGGTTGAACATGCGTTCCACCAAGCAGCCGTTTAAGGTTAGCGTTACCGCTGCTTTTGCGTGACTTTCCTGACGAGTTGTTCTTGACTGGCATGGTTACAACTAGTGTTTCATACCGGTGCCTTGTGTCAGCATATGGAGCACAGAAGCCGTTTTAGTTTCGACCAGCCATATTGTATTTTGACTTGATAGGTAATGGTATGAATGATGCTGAAACTGGTGTTGGTGGTGGTGGTGGTGAGAAGGAGAGCTGCGTGCCAGAACTTTGCAGCCTAGAGATCGTATGTGAGCAGGCGTGTATTCACCGCCATGTTGCCAGGTGTGTCTTTACCGCCATGTAATTCAACGAAAGGCCTAGTCGAAACTATCACCGTAGCTTCTGTGGTTCGTGTGCTGCCTTTGTTTCTCTACAACCAGGAATCTATTCATGCGTTATGTATGGTATTGCGGGTACACATGACCTCCTCAGCAGTCCCGTATTTTCCGGAGCATAAGCCGCACTTTTATTAGTTAAACACCGACCAGTTCACCCCCCAAAAAAAGTCGGTGTGTCTTATACTAAGATGATCAAATTAGTGGTGGGAAATGGGGCACTGTTATGTTGTCCCTGCCCTTTTGGCACGTGTGTGCCCCTTTTGGCACGTTGGTGCGGACCGCGCGCGGACTGCGCCGGTTGCAGATTATCGTACATGTTCTTGTTGTTGTGCGCATGCTTGCATGCTGATCGTGCGTGGGTTTTAATCCCTCGCACGATTGCCCTTCCGATTACTCTCTTCTACGTCACCCGCACGCCACACTCAGAGGACAGATTATTTTCGTCTTACTCCAAGGAGAGTCTCAGGAAGAAGGCACCGAAAACAACCAGAATGCGCACGATCAGCATGCAAGCATGCGCACAACAACAAGAACATGTACGATAATCTCCAACCGGCGCAGTCCGCGCGCGGTCCGCACCAACGTGCCAAAAGGGGCACACACGTGCCAAAAGGGGCACACACGTGCCAAAAGGGGCACACACGTGCCAAAAGGGCAGGGACAACAGTTAGGTGTTCGCTCACTCATGTCGGGGGCATCGAAAGGTATTCGACATTGGTGCGACTATGAAAAGGCGGCGGCTCCCCGAGAAACGTTTAGTAAAATCGGGCCCAGATAGCCCACATTTCGTTGCTTCGAAAATCACTGGATAACATTATTGGTGTGGCTTTGGTCACACCTGCCGCACCAGTTTCGACACCCCTGCATTACGTTTGTTTGTTTAGCTTTATTTTACTTCACCAGAAGCACAGGCAAAATCTGCCTTCTCACTGGGCGTATTGCCACAGTTCTCGCAAAATGATGAAGATAGTGACATAAGAAAAGGAGGAAGAGGAAAATCCTTTATTTTTATTTACACAAGAGAGAGTTTGGAAGCTTTGTTACAACTCTGAGTTTCACGTATTACTACGATCATCAGGCAACTGATGGATCCAAAACGGGCAGCCAGAACATAAGGGTGAGCAAGGTGGGAAATTCTGAGGGGTGTCATAGGCGACGCATATTTATTATTTATTTTATTTTATTTTTATTTATTATTTTTTACATACTGTTTCTATGATTGTTTGTATTCGTCTGCGTCTCGCAGCAAAACTCCTTCCAGGTGTCGGTGATGAGCGATGGCTGCACAAGCATTGGCGTGATGCAGTACCCACCGAACGCCATCGGCTTTCTCGGCACCAAGGCAAGCGTGGTCGGGGCGTGGCTCGATCACTATGACGATTCGCACACACCACGGCTGCTGAACGGGTCACTGAATGGCACCGTTGGCGACCCAACCACGCTGGTGTTCAACCTGACGCAAGCCTGCCCGCCTCCTCGATGTGTCGTGCCCATGTTAGCCTCATGGCTGGTGAATAACCGCACTACCGTTGACGTTCAATCGTGCCCGCACAATCATCACGCAGCCGCAAGTAATCTCCTCTACAATCTGTTTGCTCATCTCGATAGCAGCGTAGATGGTTATGATTTGGCTAATGAGACCGACGCGAATGGTTCGTACGCAGAGAACAAGACCACGGGCACGTCATGTTACAGGACCAGGCCGATTAACTCCCTGGCAGAGCCGGACTCTCTGGTGTACACGGTGAGTGAGCTGTGTGGGCGTGTGTGCGTGCGTGCGTGTGTGTGTGGGGGGGGGGGAGTGCACGTGTTTCTGTTTATGTGTGTGCGTGCGTGTGTGTGTGTATAATATTATGAGTGTATACATGTTTGTGTGTATGAGAGGGAGTATGTATGTAGGTGTGCGCGTGCGCGTGTGTGGGAACCATTTTAACATGAAACTCTGGCACTGCAGGTGGAATATTCCGGGTGTTCGCGGCAGTCCTCAGTTCACTGTCGTGAATGGATGCGGAGAAATGTTTTTCGTCTATGGCGCGAAATGATGTCACCGAAATGGGCATGTCATTATTCACCTCCAAACCTGACTAATCCCTGTTTCAATAAGCCCATTGCGCAATGACGTAATTTGTACCCTAAACACCCCACACAGCCACCTGGGCATGGTCTTCTGGGGTGTTGAACAGTGCATTGCTGATCCCAGTGTACTCACATAACACCCCACACAGCCACCTGGGCATTGTCCTGTGGGGTGCTGAACAGTACATTGCTGATCCCAGCGTACTGACAAGCATTTTTGCAAACATTTCACATTTGGCATTGCGCAAAACGCGTGTACTCGAGCGCAGAATTCTAGATAAACATCTCCATAGAAATACTCATCCTGCACCTTACTTTTGTGCCGCTCCTGTAGGTCTGCTGCTATGACAACGCTGACGACTCACTGATCACGGCGGGTCCATATCGGTACTACGTGAACCTGATGCAAAACGACTCCCTACACCTGGAGGAATGTGACCAAGCGGCACAACTGAGCACGTTCTTTGCTGCTCGTCCCTCTCCGAATGCCAGTGCCGTGGCAACGAAGGCTGTGTATTTCCAAGGTAATGGGCGTGTGTGTCTGGGGGAGGGGGATGTTTGTGTGTGTGTGTGTGTGTGTGTGTGTGTGTGTGTGTGTGTGTGTGTGCGTGTGTGTCTTTGTGTGTGTGCCTGTGTTTGTGCGTGCGTGTGTATGTGCGGGTGTGGGTGTGCGTGTGCGCGTGTATGTGTGTGTGTGTGTCAGTGTGCGTGTGTGCGTGTGTGCGTGTGTGTGTGTGTGTGTGTGTGTGTGTGTGTGCATCTGTGCGTGTGTGTGCGTGTGTGCATGTGTGGCGGTCAATTTATCAGCTTTGCGAGCTGTTGAATGGCGTAATCCCAGCACGAGTTGCTATGTTTAACATAGGGTGTTCGCTATCATTCATCGAGTTTTCTCAGCAATATCGGATTCCAGTTCTCCTGACAGTTCAGTATATACATGTACAGTGTATATCGATAAAATATTTTTTTGTTTCGCAATCTCTACCTTCACATTCAAAACTCAAATCCACACAATCAAGTAGACATTTCCTTTCATCTATGACATGTTTTCTTTCCCTTCTCTTCAGGATAGAACAGGGAATGTTGGAAATTTGGAAAACACACATAACTATAATTATAGAGGTTGCATGTTTGTCTGTCCGTGCATACGTGTGTGCACGTGCCTCCCATTGCAGCCGCGATACTCGGCGATCCGCACATCGTACTGCCGTCCGGTCTGGAGTTCAACTTCATGGCTCGCATCGACTGCGTGCTGGCCGACATTCACTCGATGTTTGGTAGTTTGGACTTCACGCTAACGCTGAGCGGCCGTATGGAGCTGCCGGGGCCTCAGAGTGTGTTTCCAGTACTCCGGAGGGTCCTCATTGAGATCTGTAGGTGGTTATACAGATTGTGTTAGAGGGAGAGGGACGGGACGGGATGGTGGGGGGGGGGGGGAGGGGGGGAGTGTACAGGTTGGGCTTGGGAGAGGGGAAGAGGAGAGTGCTATCCTGCTTGCATACGCCATTTTTATTCATATATCGTCTCCACTTCATGGCACATAATGATACATAGCCAATACAAGAAAGGGAGGCTGAATCCAACCACGGAAAATATCGCCATGATTGGAGAGAGAGGCGATGAGGGAGGGGAAGAGGGAAGAGGGAAGAGGGAGGGGAATAATGGCCAGGCAGAAGAAGGGGAGAAGAAGAGGAAAGAGGGAGGAGATGAGTGGACAGAGAGAGGTGGGGTTGGGGGGGGGGGGGCAGCGGGGATAGAGTAGAGGAGAGGGGAAAGGGTGGAGGAGAGAGAGAGGAAAGGAGCGGGGAGAGCGGATGGTGTCGAGTCGACAGGGTATTGTACTATCACATAGGAACAACCCATGCAAGCGATGTCCAGTTGCAACGCTGACGACGAGACCTCTGGTCGGTCGAGTTGCTCCCAGCACATCAGCACGTCGCCCCTACATCCCCAATGTTTTGTCCATTTCCTCGTTTCTTATTGTTCTCCACCTGTTTTCCAGTAGGGCTGTGTCAATAGTAAAAAAATAAAAAATAAATAAAAGGAAAAGGAAATATAGATACGAGTTGAGAGTAACTCTCCATCACTGTAACCAGATACTATATACAGTCAGAAAGTGCAACAACTAGGCACAAAACTGACAGCGTCGTGAGACATTCGAAGTCCTGACACCTAGCTTCGTATCTATATTTCCTTTTCCTTTCTACACTTATTATTGGCTCAACATCCGAGTTTCAAATAAATAAAAGCGAATAAATAAAATACATGTACACTGCATAAATTTTATTTCCCCAAAAGGAGACTTTTTCTTTCTTTTTTTCTTCTTTTTTACAAAGAACACGAACCCGGCTCGAGACAAATATCAATAACAAAAAAAGATAGCAAAGTTGCGTGCAGGGAAAACGAAGAAACGAGTAGAACATCGAAGTTGAGGGTTGACAGAACAAGCAACTATTGAGTCGGGGCGGACTACTAGTGTCCACTAGCGCAGCTGTGTAGGTGGGGCGTTGTGGACTCCTCCGACCAAACGTTTCGGCATCCTTGCACACTATTGAGATGGACCAATATTTGGTGTGCCGGCCGTCTTTGTCCATGACCTCCTCCACTCGCCTTGCCATCGAGTCTGCAGACGGAGCAGCGTCGGCAGGTTCCAAAGCACCCCATACGGCAGTTAGTGCTGCACACAATTCCACGGCAGTTTGGCATTTGCGCCTGGCGATTTTCCGCTTCAGAATCGCCCACTGGTTTTCGATGGGGTTGAGTTCGGAAGAGGAGGGAGGTTGAAAGAGTATAGATGGGGCGTCGCTTTGAAGGAGGAAGTGCTGAGCCTCCATCGAGCGGTGACACGTGCCATTGTCCAGCTGGAGCTACCTGTCGCCGTAAAAAACATGTTGCCTGCTTGCGCAATGTCCATCATGACGGCTTTGGAGAATGTCTCCCGGTTCCAGGTGGGAGCGAATGCAGAATTACCCACGGTCCCAAAGATGCTGATGGCTCCCAGGACATGCAATTTGGTAGGGAACTGGCTCTGTTCCACCGTTGGCTTGCCAGCACGGGGAACCACAAACAAATCCGCCCATCTGGACCGACAGTGAGGCATGCCTCATCGACAATCCGCTCAAAATCGTCGTCGCGGTAGAACATTGACCACGCCAGGCGTACCTCCATCACTGCCTCAGTCAAGGCTGACTTTCTGTAGGGCCCGCCGTACTTGTACCCGATGCGGTTTAGAGAGAGGCGAACAGTTCTACTGCTGACTAGCTCACCACTGGGTCTGTGTAGATCCAGGGGCGTTGGCAATCTTTTCGCTGCTGGCATCCCTGCGGGATAATAACAGAAACAGGATATTGAACTGGAATGGAAGCGTCTTTCTGACATAGCCACTAGCCCTTGTAGCACTCTTTGGTTGAAAACACTAGCCGCTAACCATACTGTGCCGCTGAGTAATTGAACCATGCCATGTACCCTTCATTATCCATTGGTATCTTGTTGTGCCTAGCTCCATCAGTTGTGTCCCTTATCTATAACAAAGAAAAAAGAAACACCAACAGAGTTCTAATATTGTCGAACGTTTTTGACTTTTCATATTCGAAATTGCAAAAAAAACCTTACCTGTGCATGCTTACAGCTGGTTATCGCCATAAACGACGTCAAACACTCAAGCCACATCTGTACAGGGCAGCGGTGTTCTCAAGTCTTTTCTTCTCGTGTCCACGAAAGAAAACATGATAATATGTGGCTCAATGACATACAGCTGGTTATCGCCATAAACGACGTCAAACACTCAAGCCACATCTGTACAGGGCAGCGGTGTTCTCAAGTCTTTTCTTCTCGTGTCCACGAAAGAAAACATGATAATATGTGGCTCAATGACATACAGCTGGTTATCGCCATAAACGACGTCAAACACTCAAGCCACATCTGTACAGGGCAGCGGTGTTCTCAAGTCTTTTCTTCTCGTTTCCACGAAAGGAAACATGATAATATGTGGCTCAATGCCTGCCGTGATCCGAGCGAGAGAAAAGGGCAGAAAGGCGCCGCCTAGTGGTACATTGGCGTGGCAGCCGGTCCGCCATTGGCCGGACCACTTTTTTGCCTGACCACATGGGTGGTGGCGTCCCACGGAAGTGGAAAGCCGGTTCGTGACGCGCCCTGCACGCGAACCAGTGTCAATTTTTTACTACTGTGCATGTAGGAAAGTTACATTGCCCAGTGAAGCCAACAGGGTTAAGTAGGGAGGGGGAGTTGAGGGTGGGGGGAGGAGGGAGGGGGGGAGGGGGAGGGGAGGGAGGGGGATGAGGGTAGAGTACACAATGAATGATGTTGATGGATGACAAACACACATGTTTCACTCACAAAGCTACTGTTCAGTACATGGGGTAGTGGTCTACCAGAGCAATCACACTCACGATCGCAGGTTCAAAGGAGTTGCGCAGAACAAGAGCAAACGCATGAAAATATTTGCGAGTGAAAAATACGTTTTTTTGCACTCTTTCGCTACGCTCAGCCGTGAAAAAACAAAACTTCTGTACCGACCTCTTACACACCATGCCAGATGGAGAGGTTGAGAGTCTAGCCGTATAGTTAGACGAGAAGTCAGAAAGGCCTGTGTGTATCAGGTGAAGTAAAGTACAAACAAACTAACACGCCGTGCCAGCAGGCCAATCTGTTTCATCGTCCTCTTGTCCGTTTGTGTGCCCACTGCCACAGCTGCCGTTTCAGCCATGTCCTCATCGGTCCAGGTGGACGAGAGAGTCGAGTGCTACCTGTCCCCGATGGGTGATATGATGTTCTACAGCAGCAAAGGGACGAGCGACATCACCGCTGCGATCAAATCGAACACGTACAACGACCTGTTCAGTTGGGACGGTGCGCACTTGCAGGTCAGCACTGGGAGATCGATGGCTGAAATCAGCTCAGCCACCGGTCTGTGGCTGGATGTCATCACTCTCGGTAAGGTGTGATGTCGTGATGGGTAGAATGTGTGGGGAAATCCCTAAGTATGGTTTGAGTGAGCTTAGTGACGGGCTACGCTAGATCGTATCGTGCGTGTGTGTGTGTGGGGGGGGGGGGGGTGTTGAGTGGGGATATGGGTGAGTGTGTGTGGTGGGCACGTGTGTGTTTGCGTGTGTGTGTGTGTTTGCGCGTGTGTGTGTGTTTGCGCGTGTGTGTTTGTGTGTGTGTGTGTGTGTGTGTGTGTGTGTTTGCGTGTGTTTGCGTGTGTTTGCGTATGTGTGTGTGTGTGTTTGTGTGTGGGTGGGTGGGTGGGTGCGTGCGTGCGTGCGTTCGTGGATGCATGGTTGTGCGTGGTTGTGCGTGCATGTGCGTGTGACAGAGAGAGTGAGGGATTCTCGAGAATAGCAAGACAGGCATCCGTAGGTCTCTGGCAAAGTGACACAACCTTAATCTTATCCACACATAGTCAAAGACCATCAACACTAACGCAAAATACATAGTGAATCAATCTCATTCACTGATCTGAGGGACAGATGCAAACGGGAAAGTCTGAAGAAAAATTGAATGTCACCACCAATTCGTGAATCAATCTCGGTGTGCATATTGTTGATCTTTGGCAGTTTCGGTGTATGTGTGTGTGTGTGTGTGTGCGTGCGCGCGTGTGTGTGTGTGTGTGTGTGTGTGTGTGTGTGCGCGTGTGTGTGTGTGTGTGTGTGTGTGTGTGTGTGTGTGTGTGTGTGTGTCGGCCGTTGGGCGGTTCAATAGCCAGTTGAGTCATCTTTCCAAGGTTCCTTTTGAGTCTCTCTCCCCTCTCCCGGGGAGACCCACGTGACCAGTTTTGGCAGTGAGCAACAAGTACAAGTACAAGAACAAGTGTGTGTATGCATGCATTTGTGCATGTGCGTGCTTTCCCATTTCTCTGTTCTGTCTACAGTTGAAGTTGAAAGCGCCACCAGCCTTCAGGGACTGTTCACTATCGACCCTAAGCCTCTGAAGAAGGTCCTGGACAACCCCAAGAAGCTGTATGAGGTCGTCCTCGCCTGTAAGCATGAATAAATCTTTGCTTGCTCAGCTGACCCAGTCACATGATCGATCTTGTCACATGATCTCATCGATCATGTGACATGATCGATTGACTGCAATGACTGGTGGAAATCATCGCAATCGTGACGTGGACCCTTTCCTTACAGTCCTCACTCCTCAGACTCCTCACATCAAATAATTGAGTTGGCCACAGGGCTAGTCATGTGATTAAGGGGAATACCCTGTTGGTGTGTGATGCACATGTAGCAGAGACATGCTGGCACGGCTGAGTGGCTTGCGGACTTGCCGTGTGTGATCCTCCAGGCTTGGTTCTGCTATTATTTTAAAGTTGCTTTGAATGAATGTTTGGAGAAAGAGAGGACAACGAATAATGAGCATGAACAATTTTCTTTTCTCTTTTCGCAAAACATCAAACCGGCTTCTCTTCTTTCTCTTTCTGTTCTCTGTGCAGACATTCAGCAGTATGCCTCTGCAATAAACAAGTTCAGCACCAGTGCCCCCACCATCACCACCACACTGAGCGCGGGCAATGCACCAACCACTGCTCCCAGCAGCAACAGCAGCAGCAACAACAACAACAGCAGCAGCAACACCAACAACAGCAGCAGCAACAGCAGCAACACCAACAACAGCAGCAGCAACAGCAGCAACAGCAGCAACAGCAGCAGCAACAGCAGCAGCAGCAGCAACAGCAGCAACGGTACAACCAGCATTACCACTGGACCGGCCAACTCCGCAACCACCACTGCTAGCGCACCAGCACAGCACTCCGATTCAATCTGGAGTGTGGACAAGATGCTATCCGCTTACTCTACTATTGTCAGCGTGAACTCCACACAAATGGCCAAGTGTCAGGGATCCGATGTGTGTGCCATGGTCTATTACTCAACCGCAAACCTAAGTCTGGGTTTGTCGGCCGAGAGTCGACGGCAGGAGGTGAAGGAATCGCAAGTCATCCTGGGTAAGGTGTCAAGCCATGCTTGGTTCTGTTTCCGGTAACTTTGAACTCCGCTGGTTGTCTGTGTGTCTGTTTCCCTGCCCTCCTGCCCGCTTTCCTGCTTGCCGGTCGTTCTCTCTGTCTGCCTGTCTGTCTATTTATCTGTCTGTCTGTCCGTCCATCTGTCCGTCCGTCCGTCTGTCTGTCGTCTGTCTTTCTGCCTGCCTGTCTGCCTGTCTGCCTGCCTGCCTGCCTGCCTGCCTGTCCGTCCGTCCGTCTGTCGTCTGTCTGTCTTTCTGCCTGTTTGCCTGTCTTTCTGTCTGCCTGTCTTTCTGTCTGCCTGTCTTTCTGTTTGCCTGTCTGCCTGTCTGCCTGTTTGCCTGTCTGCCTGTCTGTCTTTTTGTCCGGCTAGCTGGCTGGCCATTCGTATATTTCGTTTGTTTGGTCCATTTTTAGAGTCGATGACCAAACAGGCACATTAAGCTAATTACACGATATCCATGGTGTGTTAGTCTAGTTATCTGCTGTGTGTTTGTATTCAAGTGGTTGTGTGTGTGTGTGTGTGTATGCTCGTGTCTGTTTGTATGCAATCGGTTGTGCGTGCCCGTCTCTATTTGTATTCAATCGGTTGTGTGTATATGTGTCTGTTCGTATTCAATTGGTTGTGTGTGTGTGTGCGTGTCTGTTCGTATTCAATCGGTTGCATGTGTGTGTGTGTGTGTTCGTATTCAATCGGTCATGCGTGAGCGTGTGTGTTTGTATTCAATCGGTCATGCGTGCGCGTGTGTGTTTGTATTCAATCGGTTGTGTGTGCGCGTGTCTGTTTGTATTCAATCGGTTGTGTGTACGTGTGTCTGTTCGTATTCAATCGGTTGTGTGTGCGCTCGTGTCTGTTCGTATGCAATCAATGCCATCGCTTGCCGCACACACAGATTACACCCCGCCGGCGCTGGAGATCGTTACCGGCCTATACATCGACTCGGAGGGTAGAGCTCCACCAGTGACATTCCGAACAGGCCCCCAGACCGTGGTGAGTGCAAGCGTGCTTGGCTTACCCGCCACAAGCTGGACTCTCCATCAACCGGCAAACAGAAACGGTGGCTGGCTGCGCATACTGAACACCAGCTTGATCGTGCCGGCCGAGTTCACCATCACGCTCGTCGCCATGGATACGCAAGCGCCGGCCGCTCTCTCCGCGCCGACCACCGTGCGTCATGTGACGATACGCGACTGCTCGCGGTGCGCAGCGTGCGATCGTGACGACGTGCCTGCGGATGTGACCGCCGCCGTCAAGTACCATGCCACATGCAGCTTGTGTCCAGCAGGTACTGTATAAGCGTATTGTGCTGCCGGGTTACGAAGAACTAGGGGGGGGGGGGGGGGGGGTCAGCCTCCCAGCCTAGGTGGTTCATATTTTCATGTATTGCAGTTTATGCACAGTTGAGTCACCGTGTATACATTGGTATGCTGTGTTTCGTGATATTCTAGCCTGTCCGTTCTTCGGCACCCGGCATTCCTATATTGCATATTACAGGTAGACTCCCTCTAATTCGAATACGGTATAATTCGAACATTCCGTGTAATTCGAACTTTTTCGTCGTACCGATCTACTGCGAGTCACTTCAAGTCAAATTCGAATGCATAATTCGAAGTACGAAAAGTGCACCCGCTGGATAATTCGAACTCTGTCTTCTTACAGAAGCGCAGTTCACAGTACAGTGACTATGTCCTTCGAGCGCTTATTTCGAAGTGAGATGGAGTTGCTCTACTCGTAATTTGAAGTTCATTTTTTCTCCTTCTCTAGCCAATAGTAACTCAAAAATTGATCCCTGGTCCGCTCCAGGATCAACGATAGCGTTGAAGAAACCCACCTTCTCTCGAAATTTGATCCAAGCCTGTGCAAGGCAAAGTGCAAAGATTTGATTGAAGACGACTTCTTCCAGGTGGTTGGCTCCCTTCGCGGATCTCAATGGCTTGTCATGCCGCGCCAGCTCATGCGCAAAGAAGTTTAGGACTAAACAGTGATTGGAAGTCGTAAAAATTGTCTATGCCTATGCTCCACTTCCGTTCTTCAGAACGACGTGCTGCTCTCCGACGGGCTTTCATGACGCAGAGAAGGCAGCGCTGTTCTTTTGCGTTGAAATCGTTTCAGGACAACTGCAGCGATTGAAAACTGCTTCACTAGAACTTCGTACAAGATGAAAATAATGTCCAATGACTTCATGTCGATCCAGTGTTTTGGTGAAATGAACTGATTTCGTTGTTCATGACCATCTATGTTTCGTTGATGCAGATAAAAATGTGCAAAAATAATCAGGACGCAATTTCGAGCATTTTGACATACATATCAGTACATGGGACTGGATTTTGGATAATAGACACCCAATAGCAAACAAGGGTAACGCTATTTTTTTACGGTACTCGTACCTTGATCTCCCAAATAGCGTTGAAGCTGCAGCGTATAAACGTTATGGGGGCTGATTTATCGTTGTGACCAACGGTACGTGTTTTAGCCAAATATTGCATAGTCCGTACGCATTTCACCTTGTATCTCGTATATGGTGACAAAAATGGTTGTACCGCGCGAAATCAAAGCTATTCTCGTGGCAACAGCGTACTAAAAATAGCGTGCATCTTGCTAAAGGTCGAACCTAAATCACGGTATTTTCCCCCTTACGATAATACCGTTACAACATATCGTTTTTTGCTAAGGGTGTCTAATGAGAAGTTCCGGATAATTAGAATTTAGGGCTTGGCAATTTGAGGTTCGAATTAGAGGGAGTCTACCTGTATATGAATTGCGTGCGTACTGCATACTGGCATGCTGTGTTCAGCAATGCACTGTTCAACACCGCACACAACCTTGCCCAGCTGGCTGTGTAGGGTGTTGACAAATCACGTCATTGCGCAATGAGCCTACTGGAGACTGTCTTTCGTATGAGTTTAGTGCCTGGTGAGAGTGGAGCGGAGGGCACATCCAATTTGATCTTTCAACGGCTGAAAGTATGGCACTGCTCAACGGCTGAAAGTATGGCACTGCTCAACATTTCAACAAAACATCATGATAGTTATACTCGGGTGTAGAGCCAAGGAGCCGTGCAATGTTATCGTCGGATGAGCTGGTTGTAAAGTAGCTGGGGATGTTATAGCCTAACTTCTAGCACTTTGGTCCTTTTTTTCTTCTTATACCGTATTTCCCCGATTATAAGTCGCACTCGACTATAAGTCGCACCCCCATTTTCAGGTTTCAGCAATATTATTTTCGACATGATCACTTCAGTAGTAAGTCGTGCTCGATTGTAAGTCACACCCCCTTTTTTACCCTTGAATTTTTGTGTAAAAAGGTGCGACTCATATTCGGGGAAAATACGGTAATTACTTGTATAATGTTTCGACGGAATGGAACGTGAACATCTCCCTCAGCCCTCAGACCTTTCACATTGACAGATGTTTTGGCTGCCTTTTGCCGTTGTGCTTTCAGGGTATTCGGGTGCGGACTGCAGCCTGGATGTGAACGAGTGCCTGTACTTCCCGTGCGGCGAGAAGCGCTCGTGCCACGACATTGCGCCTCCCGTCAACGGCTACCGATGCTCGGGCTGCCAGGCTGGCTTCGTCCTGGACGGCTCAACGAACCGGTGCCAGCGCGAGAACGAGTGCCTTAGAGCCCAGGGCGTAGGACGAGGAGTGGGGGCGGTCTGTAACCACACCACCGACGTGTGCGTGGACACGATCGATTCCTACCTGTGTCGCTGCAGGGACGGCTTTGTTGCCAATAGCAACGATGTTTGTGAAGGTGAGCAAAGCACTAGTCTGACATGATGTCATGTGACAGTGTACCGGTAAAGGCGGAATCACAATACAACTTCTTGCAACGCGACTTGCGACACCAGCGACGAGCTGCGACAGCGACACACTTTTCACAATTTGTCATGTTTGCGACATCCTTATGCACTAGTAGTACTATGCACGTGCACTGCAGGTGCACCCAGGGTTGAAGCTGTACTCCATTTGTGTATGCCGCGCGTCGCATGTTGGAAAAGTTGAACTTTCTTCAACTTCTTCGACAGGTGCCTTGCGACTGTACGCGACAGCTCGCGACAGGCAGTTTCTTGTCGCCACTGTCGCAAATCACGTGTTGCGTTCCAGAAAGTTGTATTGTGAATCGACTTTAACAATGTGAACAATATCAAAAAGAGATAGTGCACACTCCAGGCTGAACTCATCTATGCATACTAATGGTGCTGGTGGTGGCTCTGACTTGGGTGATGGTATGTACGTGTGCGTGTGTGTGTGTGTGTGTGTGTGTGTGTGTGTGTGTGTGTGTGTGTGTGTGTGTGTAAGAAAAGAAAAAAAGAAAAAAAGAAAAAAATGGAAAAATGAAAAATAGGGATTCACTGGCCAGAAAAAGTCACTTCAATCAGCTGTGTGGTGGATACCAGGCTAAAAATAGTGGCGGTCAATTCATCAGCCTTGCAAGCTGTTGAATGGTGTAATCCCAGCACAAGTTGCTATGTCTAACATAGCTGTTCGCTATCATCGCTTCCGCGATGGGCAGGTCTGAGGTCTGAGGTGTGTGTGTGTGTACATGGACGCATGTGTGATTTTACTTCTGCAGACGTGGACGAGTGTTCAAACGACATGCATTCGTGCAACGCAAACCACTCCGTGTGTTCCAACACGGCCGGTGGTTACGTATGTTCTTGTCAGTTTGGATTCACCGGCGCAGGAAAGACAAACGAGGGAGGCTGCAGTGGTGAGTTACCGTGATGATGTTGATATGAGAGATGAAACGTGTTTTGACTACGGTGAAACCTGTCCAAGACGACCGCTCAGGTGACCTTCAAAACATGGTCTCTGTTACCAGGTTGTCTCCTTATCCAGGGTCATTTGACTGGAAATAGCATCTCTTGATGCTGGTTTCAGTGGTCTCCTTGGACAGGTGGTCGCCTTATCCGAGTGGTTTTAACCCATGGTCGCCTTGACAGGCTTTACTGTACTCTGCGTGTCATTGGTATGGCGTTAGAGGTGCAAACGTGTTTGGTGACTTTGCGGTGACAGTGAGAATTCGTTCCCGGAGATTGGTGATGGTGGTGTGAGAGATACTAGTGTTTGACTACTCTCACTTTGACGGCGAAGGAGAAACGCTACCTTTTGTGAGCAGTGAAAAGAATCTGTCCTGGTAGATTGGTGTTGGTGTGAGAGATGCAATGTGTTGGACCACCCTGCTTTGATGGTGAAGAAGAAGCGTTTGTGAGCATTTTTCAAGGATAGGAATATTTTCTGTGAGCTTGTTACTGGCTCCTTGTTCCCTGCCCCCTCCCCCACCCCCCCCCCCCCCC